TAGAGGTTTACCAATTTTGTTGCTTTTTTCAAAGAGATAGATTTTAGCATTGTCAATTTTTTGCTATTGTTTGTTTTCTATTTTGTTGATTTCTTCACTTATCATTACTAATTCCTTCCTTCTACCTACCTTGAGTTTACTTTACTCTTCTTTTTCTAGCTTCCTGAAGTCATTATGTTTGGATTTTTTCTTCCATACTAATACATGCATTTATAGCTATAAATTTCCCCTAAACTCTGCTTTAATGGTATTCAACAAATTTGTAATATATGACATTCTCATTTTCATTAAATTTGAACTATTTTCTAGTTTCCTCTTTGATTAACTTTTTGACTTATGAATTATTTAGAAGTGTGTTGGTTAATCTTCAAACATTTGGTTTTCCTAAATATCTTATTCTTATTTATTTCTAATTTAAATCCATTGTAGTCAAAAAATATACTATTTAAGCTTGTAATATTTTTTTGAAAAAATGTTTTAACAGGCTGGGCACGGTGGCTCATGCCTGTAACCCTAGCACTCTGGGAGGCAGAGGCAGAGGGATCACTTTCGCTTAGGAGTTCAAGAACAGCCTGGGTAAGAGCGAGACCCCATCTCTAAAAAAAATAAATTAATTAATAAATAAATATTTTTTAAAATAGGAATTTTTTAAATTTCCTTCTAAATCTCTTCATGACCCACTGGTCATTTGGGAGCATATTGTTGAATTTCCATGTGTTTGTATAGTTTCCAGTAATTCTTCTTTATTATTGATTTCTAGTTTTATTCCATTGTGGTCAGGAAAATTACTTAGGTATAATTTCATTTTTTGAATTTTAAAACTGGTTTGTGGACCGTAAACATATGGTTTATCTTTGAGAACAATTTATGGCCGGAGGAGAAGAACATGCATCTGCAAGCTGTCGGGGTGAATGTCTCTATTAATTTTACTACCGATTCATGTTGGTCTCACAGTGCTGACTTAAGTCCAATGTTCATTTGTTGATCGCTCGTTGCCTGGCATGATCTGTCCAATGCTGAAAGTAGATGTCGCGCGATCTCCACGATTGTTATATTGGAGTCAATCTTCTCTCTGTTTTTTACTCATTCATTATTTTATCATAATGATTAAAGAAAGAGGGCTTTCTCCATTTTCCTATTTCTCCTTTAAATGTCTTATGTTGTTTCAAGTTCACTTAAGTTGTGCGGTGATTTGTTACAGCAGCCAGACGGAAACTGAGTGCAGTGAATTACACATGTAAATACATGTGAAGAATAAAAGAAATGAGAATGAGAATTTAATAATTAAATTGATGATAGCCTTCGGGTACTGAAAACTATAATGTCCCACATGAGACAAGGAGCGGGGTTAATATCATCTTGATTCTGCTTTGGCCCTCTAGCGCTGACTTTAACAAGTTCCGGTGGAGCAAGCACCTTCCAGGATACCCACGGGGAGCGAGAGAGTCCTGCTGTTCTCCTGCGAGCTCACAGCGTGGTAAGCCTGGTTGGCGTTGAGCTACTTGGAGCGCTTAGGCCTGCTGAAGAGTACTATAACATTTTGTGAGTTATTGACTGTTTTACTTTATTTCTTTGGTAAGAGATTATGGCATAAATTAATTGTTTCTCTTCTTTTTTCTGCTAGTGGCCTCAATCAGAACAGAAATATCTTCTTTTTTCCTTCCTCTATAACACTAACAAATACACTCTATGCTCTCCACCAGCTCCAGTAACTCCAAAAAAAAAAAAAAAAAGCAGTGAACACTTCTTCACTGCTGGAAGCGTTTGACTACAGGAGAGAGGAAAATAGTATTTTTTTCTACATAAGTTCAAATGAGAAAGCCACCCAGTAGGGAACGGTTGGAGACTGTGGTTATCAGAGAAGTGGGTAGCATGGTTCTGAGGGAGTTTAACCCCTAGAAAAGCAGCAGGAGAGGGAGGACCGGGCAGGTCCTCCAAGGGCTCCAAGTCACGGATATCCGCACACTCTTAATACACAGCACCCCGCAAGTGGACAGATGTCGGAGGGAAACAGCTGTACGAATGCCCACGAAGACTAAACTCTGTGAAAGGAACTCGCTTCAGATTATGATGAAATTAGAATCTGTGAGGGCAGCCTTTATCTGTGCTTGGCACCAAGGAGAAAAAGTAGACCGTGGGACATGAGTTTTTCCCCCTCTTTTTCGCTCAAAAAGGAAAACCTACATGATTTACAGAGTAACGAGTCAGATTAACATACGGCTGATTAGATCATTTGCAATTTTAATGAAAAATTCCGTTTCTTACAACGCATATTTTATACATAGAATGAGCAATATATGTTTTATGTGCTCTTAAGGTGATAGTTACATCTCAGAGTGATTACATAGCATTTGAGTACTTAATGAAAGGATGTTCTAGGAGAAATTTGTGATAAATAGCTCCAGAAAAACCTGTGAATATCTCAGGGAGCTTCTTGTTTCTTCTTAAATGAAACCAGAAACAGTTACTGTATGCATTTAAATTTCCTGCTCTCAGAGCATCTTGTGCTCTTAAAGTCACTGGATTATAAAAGTTCTCCAACCTCTTTTCACTTACCTTACTAAGGATAAAAATGCCAGCTCTACATACTGAAAATACAAAGAGCTAACCACAATAGAAATCTTTTTTTTAATTTTTAATTTTTTTATTTCAGTATATTATGGGGGTGCAGGTGTTTGGGTTGCATATGTTGCCTTTGCCCCACCCAAGTAGGAGCTTCAAGTGTGTCCATCCCCCAGACAGTGTGCACTGCACCCAAAAAAAATGTCTTTGATATGTCCTATCTTATGGTAAATACCACTAAACTTCACACTCTAAATGCTAGTTGAGGTCACAAATGCAATGACCATCTATAAACAAAATATCAGTGAAGTTGGAATTTATTTATTTATTTATTTTCTATCTCTCTCTTTACCTCTGATAACATTCACTTTATATATCTGGGTGCTGCAGTGTTGGGTACATATATATTTAGAATTATTATGTCCTCTTGATGAAATGATCTCTTTATCATCTTATAATGACTTTGTCTTTTTTACAGTTTTTGTCTTGAAATCTATTTTATCTGATACAAAAATAGCTATTGCTGTTCTTTTTGGATTTCATTCACATGGAATATCTTTTTCCATCCCTTTATTTTCAGTTGTATGTGTGTCGTTATAGGAGAAGTGGGTTTCTTGCAGACAACATCCAAGGTATAGTTGTCTCTTATTGCTTTATCCATTCAGTTAATCTATGTCTTTTGATTGGAGAGTTTAGTCCATTCACATTCAATGTTGTTATTGATAGGTAAGGACTTACTACTGCCATATTGTTATTTTATTTTTGGTTGTTTTGTGGTCCTCTTTTCCTTTCTTCCCTCCTGTCTTCCTTTGTTAAAAGTGATTTTCTCTGGTACAGTATTTTACTGTCTTGCATTTTATTTTTTGTGTATCAATTGTAGGTGTTTTGATTTGAGGTAACCATGAGGATTGCAGAAAACATTTTATAACCAATTATTTTAAACATATGGCAACTCTGATTATAAACAAACATAGGCTACAGCAATAAAGAAGTTTCCACTGAATTAAGATGTTTCAATATCTGAGTACTTCATGATTTCACTCTCTCTTTGAGATAATATTTTTACTTCTTTTCTCTCTTCGAGATGATAAAGATAATACTGAATAAGAAGCACAAATATATAAGGCTAGCACATAAACAGATTTCACTGTATTTTCAACTGATTAGTTTGACCATTGTTTTATACTAAATTCACCTAAGTTTTTCTGAATCATTCAATTTTATAACTCATTGTAATCAGAGGTAATATTCAAATTATTCACAGCTAGAAGTTTGGGAATAACCCCCAATAAGAATGCAGGGCTAAAGATAAACAGCAAGGGCAGTTGCATTGGTATGTACCAATGTGTTCCAGCATGAACTGATATGTTCCAGTTTACTCCAGGTGGTTATGGGTTTAGGTACTTCCCACACCAGCCTCATTATCCTAGCTATAGAATGAAAGAGTGAATGAAGTTCATGATTGCATGGGGACTCTTAGCCACTCATATTGAAAATAAGTTTCTCGAATTTATTGTTCGCTATGACTTATTTCCCTGAATCCTTGAGAATAGTGAGCACATACTCGATACAAAGCTGATCGTTTAATTAAAACAGAAGGACTATATGAGTCACACTAGATTCTGAACTTTGCAAGAATTTAGATGATTTTGTTTATAAGCTTTGAAACACCTTGACTTAAATTTATAGCTACAATGATTTACAGGCTTCCTATATGGGCCACGAAGTATGCAAGCATTCTAAATGGATGACGTCATTATTATCATTCTAACCCCACTACACGGTAAATGTTATCTATTTTCTAGAAATTAAATTTTTTAAAGATATAAAGAGTGTGAGTTCCTCAGTGTCATAAAGCTAGTAGGTGACTGAGTCCATGTTCAAACCCAGGTGTGCCTAAATCCAAAGACACACAATGTCACTTAGGTAATAGAATTAAGTACCCATGAATTTGTTTTTAAAGCGTCAAAATAATTTTCTCGGAAAATCTCAAATGATTGTTAAGAAGTCCAAATAAATATAAGTGAAAAACAAATGTCAAATCATAAAATTCAGATTTAAGAAGCTCAGATAAAAGCAACACATGTTTCCTAAGGTAATAAACAACGAATATTTCCAAACTGTCCTCAATTGGACATTGTTAAAAGAGGCTTTTGAAACTTTCTTCCTTGAGAATGTTTAGCACAATACTGAATTATTTGACTCAAACTGGTTTCATTTACCTTTTCATTAATAGAAAAGCAACGTAAAGCTAGCAAAATAAAGTAGCTGAAACCTAATCATAACATTCTATAGCCTTTATTTATAAATTTGAATATTTGTGTCAATACGAAATATATATATAGAGAAATCTTTCTCATACACAGACAGAATGAGCAAGCAAGAGAAAGAATGAGAGAGAGAGAGAGACAGAGAGAGAGAGAGAGAGAGAGAGAGAGAGAGAAAATGCTAATAAAAAATTTAAACAAGGCATTATCGCCTCAAAAGCACCATATTCATTTATCTTCACAGTTCCTTCCCTGGCCTCCAAGTGTCTCTCCCGTCTCATCCTTACCTCCAGTCATCCTTTGAGAGGTTGACCAAAATATTCATTTCCTCGTCCTCTTGTAGGAGGCGATAGGCTGCGCTCAAATGGTGATTTTCCAGTACAGATCTATCGTTGTACAGAATAGCCGGATCAGACCTGAACAAAAAGCCAAGCAAAACTGAGCATGTTCAACAGTTCATATTTCTCCCCATACCTCTCACAGGTGAGACTGCACTGTCACTTTTTCCTATGTTTAGAAATTATCTTTGCCTCCGTGCCATTTATATGAACCAAATGCTCAACCAATACTATAAAGCAAAAAGCAAAAAGACAATGAATGTGAAGACTTTAAAATACTATAAATCATCAACAGTTGGATGTAGGGTATTTTACTATGAACACATATGTGGGTGGGAAATATCCAGCCTGAGAACTCTCTGGAAACTGTTTTATAACAAGATATCAATTACCTATACTAGTAGCAAAACACATTTTTCAGAATGTGGGTCACATCAGATTTCCTTATATTTTCTGGAATGGTGTTAATTTTTTATTTTTATTTCATTCAGTGAACACACTGGTTTATTTATTTCAGGTGTAATTTGTGGAACTCATACCACCTGGTAGGTACTATCTACAAGCTGCCTTTGATCTTGCCCTTAAATTTTTCTACGCAAAACCCACATGTGGAAGGAAGACTGAGAGTAAAGAATATAAAGATTATATGTCAGTGGTTAGTCCCTGTATCAGAGACTGTTCTATAACCAAATGTCACCAAACACAAGGCTGTATGCTATTTTAATACCTTCAATTTAATGAAAGCATAGATTATTAGAGCTTAGCTGTTTCTCATCAAGGAAGCTTAGTTCCAGAGGTTTAAAGAGACTTCTACAGGTCTTCTGACAGGCCAGTGCTCCTCAAGATAGCTTCCACCTGTTATTGGCCAAACTTTGGGATGTACTTCACATACCTTCAAAGTGTGTTAGGCTTAAAATTTTATCCATCAAAGGATAAAAGACCTAGTCACAGACTTAGTTTTCTGCACATGGATCACATGGGCTGAAATGTTTTGGATAAAGTTCTGTTGAAGAGGGCCAATGTTTAAATTTCATTCCAAACCAAGCCTAACTACACTCACTGGAATTTTCCCACTTCTACAGAGATAACACAAAACATGCAAATCCCAAAGTAAAGATCTGCTCTTATATCTGGTGAGTAAATTAGGTACCAACTGATGGGTATTTTGTGAGTGACAATAACCTATTTTCCAACTCCAGTAATTAAGCTGTTTTCCTCTAAGTTGTGACTGGTTAGGACACTAGTCTCCAGGCAAGATCCACATACAGTTGTTCCACCCACCTCTCCTCCTTCAGCAGGTGCTATCACCTCAGTTTCTGCTCAAAAAAAAAAAGGTTCCACCCACAGACACACATTAAAGAGTCCTTATCTATGGAATTCCCTCTGTTAAAGACCTTGGAACAGAACCACAAAAGGCTGCTTCCAGCAGCTCAGACTACTCTAAGTGAGGAGGCAGGAAGGAGGAACCAAAACCAGTAGCTTAAGTCCTTTTGTCTGCTTCCATTCCATTGAAATTCCCCTTCTGAGCAGAGATCAGACGATATTGTCTTCTTTTGTGTACCCTGTAATTAAGTGTTGAGTTCATTAAATACATGTAGATCAATTTAATGAACACAAACCTATCTGGAGTGTGCACCTGCTTTTTCAAGTGAAATCAGCAAGTATTTACTTGGTGTTAGACTCCCATCCCTCCCTACTACATTCTTTCTCTTTGCCTGGAGACCAGTATCAGAACCAGTCACCACTCAAGAGGAAAATGGCTTAATTACAGGAGTTAGAAGTGCCACCTTTCCCCAAATCCTAGCTTCTTTCCATTCATATGTCAAGGCTCAATTAACCCTATTGTCAGATTCTTTCCAGTTCCACATAATTGTCTCGGAGACAGTAAGTTCTTAGACCAGGAGAGGGCATACAAAGCTTCATCCTAAGGAGAAATGACAACTGACTGGTGCTGCTTGCCTGGAATTCTCTGTTGGGAGAAGTACTAGGGATAAATCCATGACTTAGCAAGAAAAAAATACCAAAATCAATTAGTGATGTCTGTTACAAGTCAGAGGGCTCAGAGTGGACACTTGGACCCATATTTATGCCCCCAACAGAGATTTGTGTACTTGTGTGCAGTTCATTTGGAAGGGTGCACAGGTTGCTTATAGTGAAGGTGGCCTAGAAGAGACAATCTAACTCCCCAGCCCTTCTGCCAAGGAGTAATGCAAGCACTGAGCAAAGCAGGTATGAATGAAATTAGAAAGGATGAAAAGAGCATTTCATGAGAATCCCAGAGGTCAGATGGTAAGAAGGCTCAATTACCATTAATGTCAACAGAAACACTCCAATCATCACTGTCCTTGTTGATTTAGTTTATGTGGCATCTGGGTCTCTATGTAAAAACTCTCCCACCTCGTATTAGAAATAGCGTATGCATAGAACATACATAAGTAAACAAATAGCAAGCATTAGAATAGAGAAAAAAGGACATCCATATTAGATCCAAATAAAATAAGAGAATTAGGAGCAGGTGGTTTCTTAAACTCCAAGTTGTGATTAAAGCTGATCAGGCTGATCTCTTATTTATAGGTTCATCTTTGCAGAAACTCAAAATAGGACAACTGTCCAAAAGAAAGGTGACTCACACCTTTCTAACTTCTAAAACTCTACCCCTGTCCCCTCCTGCCTCCTCTCCAAGCATTTCAACATCCTCACCGAGTCTGAATGTGGAAATTGTTGGTAGTTCCGGTATGCTCATAGTCGTGGATGGCAGCTGAGAAGATTATAGCAAAGATCTCCAGCTCCGTCAGCCAGTTCTGAAAAGGAGATTACAGAGCAATCAGATAATCTGTTTCTTTCTCAAAGTCTTCAGCTTGCTGACAACACACCCACACTGCTGCCTCTCCACCCTGCAGCTGGTAAACTATTGCCAAACACAAGTTTTCTGAGACACAGAAATAAGTTTTTAAAAATTTTTTCCTGTGAAGAGACTAGGGGACTTGTGATTTAAAAACAGCATGCCCAGCAAGGTTGAAAGAACTAACTAATTAGTTTTATCTTTTTTAAGAAGGCAAAAAGACAATGAATGTGAAGACTTTAAAAGCCCTCATTGCACCCTCTTCCAACTTCCAAATAAATAAAGTTCCTACGTAGACACCACACACACACACACTTAAAAATTTCAACACTATACCAAGAACTAAGAGTAATAAAATACCTAATGTCTGATTATAGGAGGAATATCCAACAAACAGTGGGTAGAGACAGATGGAGAAATAACACTTGGTTTTCTGCCCTATGCATGTTGATGTTTGAAAGTACTTATCCCCATGCACACATTCAAAGTTAGTTGTAGTTTGCAAAGTGTGTTCCTTGGAACAGCAGAATTAGCATCACCTAGAAGCTTGTTAGACATGCAGACAAATTCTTTGGCCCCACCTCAGTCCCACTGGATCAGAAACTCCAGGTTGTGGTTCAACAGTCTGTATTTTATCAAGCCATCCAGATAATTCATGTGCATACTAGAGTTTGAGAACTACTGCTGTGTTTGAGGCTCCCTGAAAACTGATTTCCATTTAGTGGATTCTATAGATTCACTTCCCATCTGTAAATCATTCTGCACAATGCCCACACAACAGAACATTCCTGACTCTTAGGCCAGCCTTTGGTATCCTCTGCTGACTGTTGTTACTAGTTAAATTGATGCTTGCATGATTCAACATGGTTTATTCCAAACTCTGTTTTGATAAGTTATAATTGTTATTATAATTATGTAATTAAATATGACATAAACCAATAAAACATGAAAGCAAAAATGGAGTTATTTCTATAGAACCTAAGTTCAATGCTTTGGATAGTCACTAAAGGAATTGCTGTCAAAATATGTGTGACAGCTGTGAAGGGGTAGAAAACAATTATAAAAATTTAGGCAGCTTCTGCACTCAGTTTGCTTTATGAGTATCTTTAAGTTCCCATTTCACTTAAATGAAATGAAACTAGAAATCTTAGAGGACGGGTTGAGGCAAGACAAATTTGAATACTCAGGTCAGTCAACCTCAGAAATGACCCCAGGGTCTGGATTAAAATTAGTACATAAAATATATTTATATGATTTAAATTAATGCAAAATTATTTAAAATGAACGTTTAAACTTTTACAATTCTCCACTATGGCCACTTCTTTGAACTACTAAATTTGGTCCTCATCTAAGAACCTTTATGAGAATTATCATCTTCTTTGAGGATGAGTTTGGGGGAAAATAAATAAACACATGGCATACAACCTATGGGGAAAAGACTTCATAATTAGGGGGAAAATGAGCACAAAGATAACTCCAGGGGTAAAACACACTATACTTTTGAAAATGGTTTCTAGTAGAATCCAGCAAGAAACGTCAGGAAATTGTGGGCATCCTTAAAAATACACACTGAGATACATGGAACCAGAAGACATAAAGAGAAAACAGACTAAGATGAAAATCAACAAAATGAGATGGAAAAAAGGGTGTTAAGATAAGGAAAGATCTCAAGAAAACTGAAATTGCAAAACCTGTTCTAAAGGCAGTAAAGAACCTCCTCAGCCTCCTTATCATCCCAGGCCTCACTGCGTGGTAGGTGAGATTCCAGGAAACTCACGTAACTCCCACCACTCCATAAAGCTCGGTACTGTTGTTCTCTTCTCTTCACAGATGAGAAAACTGAAGCCTGGGGAGGTTCGGGACTTACCCAAGGTCAAACAGCCAGTCCTCTGACAAGCCACACAATAAGACTCCAGAATTCTCATAATCTTTAAGTCATATTTCCTTTGGGTCATTGTTCATGTGTTTATTCAACTTTGCATAAAATTATATAGGCGTAATTTTACATCGCACATTTTTCTTGATACTGCCCATGCATATATTACATATGTATGTGGTTTTTCATTTTGGCGATGTCTTTCTTTTTTCCCCCCACCATCCTGTCCCCATCCATCTGCTGCTGATGACTCTCCACCCATTCCCGCACACGGATCTCTTGTTCTACGCTCATGCAAAGTCAATTACACATCTTAAAATAAGATTATGAATGGGAGACAGCGTAACATCTAAACAAGTCTGAGCCAGAGACCATCAGTCCAGCCAGCAGAAAGCGTCTAAATAACTGTATCATTACAATTCCCATATTACAAATACCAGTGACACTTCTCTTCTTACCTAAATACACTAATGAAATCCCATCTTACATATAACCTACATATAAACCAAAAACAATGAATGATTAAATAAGCATTCAACAACAACAATAAAAAAAAACATAGTCTTTAAAACACATTTTAACACCCTAGCTTTTCAACAAACACTGTGGATGCTTAGAATCAGTTATGCTGCTTTGGGAATAAGAAGAAAGAAACATGGTATCTGGCAAAGGGAAGGGGAAAAAAAAAAGGAAAAGGAAAAGGGAAGGGAAGGAAAGGAAAAAGGAAAAGGAAAAGGGAAGGAAAGGAAAGGAAGGAAGAGAGAGAAACAACTTCTTAGAGGAAAGACATTTAAGATGGTCCTTGAAGACTGCACAGAGCAAGAAATGAAAGTAGGCATTTTCAGAAGACTGAACAAAATAAGCAAGTCTCCGTAGCAAGCATCTCGAGTAAGGAAATGATTCTCTTGACTGGAATTGGAGTTGGGGCTGATTGAGACCCTGTGACGTCAGGCATTAAAAGCCAGTGTGAGTGGGAATGTCAACTGGACTCAACACACTGAATTTTACATGTGAGAGAGTAACACAGCCAGTGCACCACTTCAGGAAGTGCAGGAGCAGAGAAGAGAAATATAAGAGCAGTATTTTTAGATTGAAAAGTTCTTACAGGATTTATAGACAGTATGAAGGTAGAATCTATAAGACTTAACAATTAACTGAATCTGGAGTGGGACAGGGGGACAAGAAGAGGCTTCAGTCAAGGAGAACAAGGAACAAAAGATGACCCCAACACTCCTAGCCTGCATGGCTGACAAACCCTGGGTGGTATGAGGTGGCACCACTAATAGAAACAGAGAAGGTAGGAGGTATTGGAGGTAAAGTCAGGCTTCATATTTTAGTATGGCTCAGATTTCTTTGCCTTTTCCAAATTAATTTTTGTGAGCACGGAAGGTTTTATGTCAACCCATAAAAAGTCAGAAATTTAAGTCTCACCAGTATTTTATTCCAGAAATATCAACCTGTAGCAAAGTACAAGTCACAGATCCTCCCAGTGTTTCCCTGTCTACAAAATATAAGTGTCACAATTAATTCAGTGACAGGGATGCCTTGATAAATGGCAATGATGGACTCTCAGTTTTGCTGTGTATGATGCAGGCAAGCAGGCTGAGTGTGTGCGTCTGTAGGGGCAGAGGAGGAGACATGGGATAGAACAGGCCAGGGGAAACCTGAAGGTACAGGACATGCACAACTTCCTATTGCTAGAGGAGACATTATATTAGCAAGTTGTGAGTTTGATATGTGAATGATAAAGTTTCTTTAGTAATCTGTTTCCACCTCTATATTCATTTTCCATTGCTACCCTAACAAATTACCACAACCTCAGAGGCTTAGAGAACACCCACCACTAACTGGCACACAGTTCTGCAGGCCAGTGTGGATGGGTTCTCTGGTAGGGGTCTCACAGGCTGACATCAAGGAGAGGGCAGCGCTACATTCCTTCCTGGTGGTTCTGGGGGGAAATCTGCTTTCAGGAGTGTCCAAGGCATCAGCAGAATTCATTTCCTTCTAATGCTTTCTTCTTGGCATCCTCTACCTGCAAGCTATTATAGCAATGGCCAGTTGAGTCCTTCTCACACTTAATCCTCTCTGACTTCTCCATCTCTCTTCAACTTTGACAAACTTCTGTGATTTCACTGGGCCCAGCTGGAGAAGCCAGGCTACTCTCCCTATTTAAGGTCTTCTGATTGGTAACATTAACTGTATCTGTAAAGTACCTTTTGCCATCTAATGCAACATTTTAATGCATATGACACCAGAGGACCAAGGTCATGGGGGCCAAATGTCTGCCAATCACAACCCCTAATAAAATTATTTAGCATTCTTCAACCAAGATGTCATTTTAATATTTTAAGCATTCCTCCTATAAATATGATGATGCCATATATGATCAAATGAAAAAGCTACATAGCTTCTCCTTTCTGAAAAAAATAGGCAAAGGGAAAATTATTAGCACCATGCCTGACAAAAGCAATGAAAATGGCCAAAGAGTAGCTTCAGATTTGGGAATCTTTTGACCTAAATCCAAAGTAGACTGGAGCTTGGAGTCTGATTAATATCTATTCAATGAATAACAACTCCTCAATCTAATTCTGTTCAAGAATTTTCTCTTAGAAATGAGCAGAATAGTTCTGAAAAGGTTCAAGCGTCTTTTAGGCCCTTAAGTTAAACAATAATGAGTAATACAAACAGATTAAAATGAGTAATACTGTTGATGTTGAAGCCCAGACATCACTTTGTCAATGGGATGTTTTGATTCCCTAAGTGTCTTACAGTTTATAACACTGAAATGATTTAGAGTATTTTCTCCCTCTTGGTTTGTAATGAAAGGTTAGAGTAACAAGATGTTCTCCATTCATCAGAATGTTCCCCACTGTTTTTGTAAGCTCAAAACGAAAGAAGTTTGTTTTGAGCTGCTTTTCCAAGAGAGAGTGGGTGGGAAATAGTTTCTATATTTAAGAACTATTCTGAATATGGCCTGAATTGATAATGAAAATTCAATAACAAATGGCAAATGAGCTTGTTTAAGAACAGTATGCAGTATGTCATGATCACTGGCTGCTATGATACAACATTTATGTTAATCT